TAATGCCAGTTAATGTCATTATTACTCCTTTCCTCTACATAATCACCTCTCCCCAGTAGGGTCACGCTTTCATGGGTTTTCAGTACATGGTAGTTCTCATATTCAGTGTCTACTAGGTTTTTTGGGAGTTGACTTTATGTTTGACTATCCTGTCCTCTATTTTCTGACTGTCATGACAGCAAAGTATAGGTCAGTTCCATGCTAAAGAAGATTGCAGTACAAAAGATGTAAACACATAACAACAGATCTTGGCTAAGCTTTGATGGTTAGAGAGAAAATAGACATATCAGGTCCGTTAACCAGTCAAGGCTAGGTCACCAGAGGATGGATGCCAATCATTCATTAGCCAAGATTGTCAGCTGAATGACCCTCTGTTAATTGAAATATTCACAGAACTTACATGAACCAGCATGAAACGTTTGTTCTTATGTAGCTAGTATAATGTACTAATGACACCGCCAAGGGTAGAGTTACAAAACAGTCATAGGTATGCACAGAATACTGCATTAGTGTGCCCCATGGTAATTATGCACTAACCATACTTCTATCTCCCCGCCCCTTCTATGCCCATACTTCTATCTTCTGATTCATGCATCACTCAATTTGATGCCAATTCTCCTCTTCCATACCTTCCATGCCTGTTCTTCCCATTCCTCATTCTCACACCCCTTCTACTCTTCCCACATCGCTCCCATGCATTTTTTTCTCTCTTCCCCATCCCATTCTATCCTGTGGTAGTGCCGATTCATGAGGAGGCTGCAATATGCAATCATGTCATATCCCTGCTCTCCTCATTGATTGGCTGCTGCTACTGCACCACACCGGTACTTCCTGCAGAAAAGCCTGACAGAACGAGAGCCAAGCCCCCACAAAGATCCAGCACAAGGAGCAGTGCCACATCCACAGTGATTGGACAAAGTATGAGGGAAGCAGTGCCAGTCAGGAGATACAATGTGATAAACGTATGGCTTGTGTGTCAACACAGAGGCCTCAGCATGCCAACTGTCACATACATGTCACCCTACCTCTAACCTAACTCCTAATCCTAACCCAAATAAGGTTAGGGGTAGTGGTAGGGATTAGGTTAGGGGTAGGGTTAGGAAATTGCCGAATTCCTGAAGTGGCGAATTGCCGACTTTCGGAAGTGCCAAACCGAACCAAAGTGCCTAAGTCTCGAATTGACGAAGTTCTGAAATTCGGAAGTGTCGAACCGAACCAAATTTTTGGCCCATGCACATCCCTAGCGACTAACTGATTATTACATAGTTACATAGCTGAAAAGAGACTTGCGTCCATCAAGTTCAGCCTTCCTCACATTTATTTTTTGCTGTGATCCAAAACAAGGCAAAAAAAAAAAACCCAGTTTGAAGCACAATTTTGCAACAAGCTAGGAAAAAAATTCCTTCTTGACCCCAGAATGGCAGTCAGATTTATCCTTGGATCGAGCAGTTATTACCCTACATTGAAAGATTATATCCTTGAATATTCTGTTTTTGCAAGTATGCATCTAGTAGCTGTTTGAACATCTGTATGGACTCTGATAAAATCACTTCTTCAGGCAGAGAATTCCACATCCTGATTGTTCTTACAGTAAAAAAACCTTTCCTTTGCCTTAGACAAAATCTTCTTTCTTTCAGTCTAAACGCATGGCCTCGTGTCCTATGTAAAGTCCGGTTTGTGAATAGATTTCCACACAATGGTTTGTATTGGCCCCAAATATATTTGTATAATGTTATCATATCCCCTCTCAGGCAACGTTTTTCTAAACTAAATAGGTTTAAATTTGTTAACCTTTCTTCATAGCTGAAATGTTCCATTCCTTTTATTAATTTTGTAGCCTGCCTCTGCACTTTTTCTAGTGCCATAATATCCTTCTTTAGAATAGGTGCCCAAAATTGCACAGCATATTCAATATGGGGTCTTACCAGTGATTTATAAGAGGCAAAATTATATTCTCGTCTCGAGAATGAATGCCCTTTTTCATGCATGACAATACCTTATTGGCCTTGGCCACTGCTGATTGACATTGCACATTGTGGCATAGTTTGTTGTCTATAACAATTCCCAAATCCTTTTTGTGTGTTGTTATCCCTAATTCGCTTCCATTAAGGGTATACATTTCTTGTGTATTCTTTATGCCGAAGTGCATAACTTTGCATTATTCAACATTACATTTCATCTGCCATTTGAGAGCCCAGTCCCCCAGTCTATCTAAATCCCTCTGCAGCAAAGTAATATCTTGCTCACATTGTATTATTTTACAAAGTTTTGTGTCATCTGCAAACACTGAAACATGACTTTCAATGCTGTCTTCAAGATCATTTATAAACATTGTGATCCTTGTCAGCAGGTAGCACGGTCCTCTAGGGCAAAAACATGCACAGTCCTTGTAATTGCATATACTCCAGGCACTTTATTTGTAAATCCAGCAGTAAATGAAAACAGAAATGTAACAGAAAACCCTATAAACAAAAACCTAGCTCGGTCTGAGCACTAACTCACTTTGAACATCCCTCTCTATCAGGGTAAACTAACAAAACATATGGCACCAACCCTATTAGTTAGCAACACTCTGCTGGCTAGCCTGTTGCGTTCCTTTCCGCACTCCTAGTGCTCCAAACCAGCCTTGCCCTGACTGCTTTCCTTTCTGCACTCCCAGTGCTCCAAGCCAGCCTTGCCCTGACTGCTTTCCTTTCTGCACTCCCAGTGCTCCAAGCCAGCCTTGACTGCTTCCTCCTGCACTCCCAGTGCCTAGTCTTCTTGACTCTCTATATGGAGAGAACAGCCTCTCTCCTGCCTGCTTCCTGGGAGGAAGCCAGCAATCCCTCTCCTTTACCTGCCTAGCAGGGAGGAGTTTATTCCCACTGCAACAGCTCATTAACTGCAGCTGAGCAGTGGGTTGGAGACGATCCAAAAAACCCTGGCCTGGATCCATGTCTACCCAGAAAACCACTAAACTGTGGAGTGGAGCATTGGCCCACCCTTCTCTCCAAATGCTCCACCCGAGGGGCCCATAACTAAACAGTGTTTTGTGTTGCCTACAACACATCCTGCACATACTCCGCCTGGGGTTAAATGTTATAGGCCTATCTGCCTTCACTTTACATGTTAAATAGAAGGGGTCCCAGAACAGACCCCTGAGGGACACCACTTGCAACCTCTGTCCAGCTTGAAAATTTACCATTAATGACAACTCTTTGTACTCTGTTTTTAAGCCAATGTTCTACCCAATAACAAGCATTGTCATCTAGACCGATTTCCTTGAGTTTGAACACTTATCTATTGTGTGGAACTGTATCAAATGCCTTGGCAAAATCCAAATAGATCACATCCACGGCAACACCCTGATCTATACCTCTACTTACTTCTTCGTAGAATGCAATCAAGTTAGTTTGACATGACCTGTGCTTCATAAAACTGTGCTGATTTTTGCTCATAACCATGTTCTTCTCAAGGAATTCTTGAATATTATCCCTTAATAACCTTTCAAATATTTCCCCAGTCATAGAAGTTAAGCTCACAGGTCTATAATTTCCAGGCAAGGATTTTGAACCCTTTTTGAATATAGGAACCACATCTGCCTTCCTCCAATCCTCCAGAACACTTCCTGAAGGAAAAGAATCTTGAAAGATTAAAAACAGAGGTTCACTTATTTCTACACTTAGTTTCTTAAGTACACGTGGATGGATACCATCAGGCAGGGAGCTCTCCTCCTCCTCGGCTGAATGCGCATGCGCGGCAGGAGCCGCGCACACATTCAGCCAGTCCATAGGAAAGCATTATCAATGCTTTCCTATGGACGCTGGCGTCTTCTCACTGTGAAAATCACAGTGAGAAGCGCGGAAGCCCTCTAGCAGCTGTCAATGAGACAGCCACTAGAGGCTGGATTAACCCTAATGTAAACATAGCAGTTTCTCTGAAACTGCTATGTTTATAGAAAAAAGGGTTAAACCTAGCTGGACCTTGCACCCAGACCACTTCATTAAGCTGAAGTGGTCTAGGTGCCTATAGTGGTCATTTAATGCTGTCTCATTAGACTAAGCAGAATGAAGGAGATGGGCTGCTGGGTACTGTCAGTTAAAAATATAAATATCAATAATGGTTTAATGATGAATAGAAGGACAGTACCAGGGTACTTCAGGCACTATAACCACTTCAGTGAGATCAAGCAGTTACAGTGCCTACAATGTCCCTTTTAAAAGTGTTCCCTTGTGCTTGGGATATGTAGGTTAGTTTTGTATATTTATGTGTGTTTGTGTGTGTTTATATATATATATATATATATACACACACACAAAGAGAAAGAGAGATAGAGAGAGAGAGACTAAATACAACAGGCACTAATAAATGCGTGTATTATCTACTTGCAAGTTTCTCACAGTCAATCCATGTAAATTCCTCAAGGAATATAGACTCCAAAACTCATTTGTTATTCAGTTTGTAGTGACAGACAAAAGCCTAGGATTCCTCAAACAGATTTCATCAATAGATCTAGTTCATGAAAGAGAAAAAAGAAATACAATTTTGTTCCTTGCAACTTGACAGCTTATTTCAGAAGTGAAATATGTCACTAGAGACCATGAAATTGTTGTACATGCAATGCGTATGTTTCCAGTAGGATATCTTGTTTAGTCTTCCTTTGTGTGATTTCTGTTGTATTGCATTGTAATGAGACACTCGGTCTGCATTATGTGTCTTTCTGAATCCTTACTCTGCAGGGGCATTTCTAGGGTGGCTGACAGAGGCTGAAGCCATGGGTGTAATTTTGGCTCCATTTATCATTTAGCCCCAAATCCCCCTGAGAGAGAAATTACACCCAATGACATCAAGTGTGGGGATATTGCTGTGAGTGCAGACTTTTAATGCAGTAGACTGAAAGTTTAATAAAGCATGACTCTAAAGTTCTGTATATTGCATCCCTGGTGCAGGGTTATTGTTCTAAATGCATATTTTATTTTACACAGGAAGATTAGACGTAACTCTGAAGTTATGTAAACTGAATGATGGAGTGTTCCTGGAAAGCTGTCCTTCTGTTAGTATTTGCCTCCCTGGGAATCCAGTATTCAGCCATTAAATCTCTAAGAAAGGCCTACGAGGCTCCCTGTCCGAGCATGACAGTTCAAAACCAATGTCTGCAAAGAGACATGAAAGGTGAGTCTGTTATGACTAAATAAATGGATATTGGGAGAACAAGAATTTTATCTTTTATACAGGATATTCACTTTTATGATCGCCACTCTTTACAAACGTTTTACGTTTTAGGTGCACTGTACCTTTAAATATTGAAGTGCTACAAAGTGAAAAAGGTGTCCGTGCACTGTGCATTCAGGAATTACCTTTATATTATTAGAATAATGTGCAAAATTGCAATTGTGTTATGTGCTAAATATACTAAAAACTACTTACTAAAGAAATAGGGATTTCCCACTATTTCTTCCAGGGATGCATAAGGACATAAAAAAACAGAAAAATAAACATAGCATAATACTGTATAACAAGAAATTCTAAGAATGACCATAAAAATGGAATCAAACTCACAAGAGGAGATCAGTAAGAAGTCTGCTCTCACTTTTCTCACTTGTGTCCACACATGGGACTAAGTGCAACCAGGGATCAGAGTATGGCAGCTTGAATGTAGAAAACACTTTATTTCCAACAAAGTTAAAAGATTCACAGTACACGTGAGCATGTGCTCCCTTATCCACAGAAATTCATACCCCTATACTGCAGTGGAGCTTCAAAACCGCGGCTAGTACTAGCGGTCTCCTCGAAAATCGGCACCTTCCGGGAGGCGGGGCTGCGTACCGTCACGTGTTGGCGTGATGAGACAAGAATATAACAAACAATAGTGATATTATAAAAATAATAGTCAGTAGGGTATATGCAAAAACAATAACATATACACGTGTAAAAAGAGTCCAAAATAAAACCTAGATAAAAGTATATAAAATATCAAATGATAAGGCACAGTCTCAGTAGAAGCAGCACATCTTCTTGTATGATATTAATTATACTAAGCATGATACTAATTGTATGATACTAAATAGTCTCGCTTGATTGCAGCATATGAAAAGAAACACAGGACAAGCCAAACCAATAGTACAGTATGATAATAGAAAATAGGACAAACAACACTTAAGACAAATGTCAACTCACATACAATAGAGCTATAACCAGCTCTAGGTAAAATAGCATGCAGTGGTTTTTAATCCCCACTTGCAGGATATCCCTCTGGGTTTGGTAAATGGTGAAGCAATCATGACTGGAAAGTGGTGAGGTAGATCATATGAAATGACAAAGGCAGCCAATAGTGCTCACAATTTAGGTAAGGATTATAGAGATGAAATGAAAAGTACTTACATGTAAATGAGCAGACTAACCATGTATCAATCATGCATGGTACAATCCTCACCTAGGATTCTTTAGTTGATGGTCCACTTTGACTAAACTATAAAAATATTAATTAGTACAATATAAACAATGTTTTTAATATTGTAAAGTAAACGTTAAAATAGTTTTAAATGAAAAACGAGTGTTTGGGAGGGAGTACTATGACATATAAAGTAAGGAAAAGAAAAGCACTGTCACTCCTTCCTGAAAAGAATAGTGGAGAGTATCTTTATGGAATACTCAATTTGATTGTGTTTGAATTTCACTGAAATTCCAACCCAGTCAAGAGATATGCAGAGACAAAGTAGGGACTGCTTTGTCTCCTTTACCTGTCCCAGCAGCCCCAGTGGCGATGTCACAGTTGGCAAAGTCCCCTACGCTAACATTTCCGCTTTAACACTGTATCTTCTCACTTTCCATCCTCAAACCCCCATTCAATTTTCTTTCCTTATATTTCTCAAGATAGCATATTCAGTACAGATAAATTTATATGTGAACAAATTGTAAAATACAGGCAAATATAGCTGAGACAAAAGAAATCCAACCCAGTTATTTGGATACGCTGCTTTTTTTTTTTTTTTAAACGCAGAGCACAATGTGTCAATTCTCTATTTAGTGAATATGCCCAATTAAACTTCAAAATAGTTTCTGTTTCAAACTCTCTCTTTCTTTTTCTCTGTTGAAGCTACAGTTTTGTCTATGGCCGACAGAACATCATGGCAGATAGAGAGCTATGTACTGACCTTTCACCGATTATCATTAGTATTATTATATAAGGGTAAGGGAGTACAAATCCATAGAAATGCACTATGCCTTTTAAAATAATTATTCACCCATCTACATTTTTAAAGGGGATGGTATTAAACTTTAATCATGCTTCCTACAGGATGCAAGGATTTGTGGAAATAAATTAGTTGTAGTTATATGATTCATGATATTAAGGTCAACACAATCTTGGTGACCATTTGTAAGACACATCTGTGGAGCTACTTCCATAGTTCTATTTTATGTATCAATTGAGTAAAAAGCAAAAAACTAAATATACCAAAGGAAGTTACTTCTATTATTGTTTTCTTGGTCTCATTTCATACTGTTTTTCTCTAAAATGAGAATGCAAAGTGAATTACAAATTTAAGGACAAAATAATCAAACTGATAAATTTCTCTAAGTCAGCTATGCTTTTAGTTTGGCTACTCTGCCCTTTATGCCAGTCCAGATGGGGAGAACCTCTCATCTCCCACGGCAGATGTGAGCTGTCAGTTCATACCTGAGTCTAAAGGATCTACCATTAATTATATTGCTCCGTCTCTTAGCTATATGTCACATCTAATGAAAGCCATTTTTGTCTTTTAACCCATTAAGGCCACATGACGGAAATATTCCGTCACAATTCCCTTTTATTCCAGAAGTTGTGTCCTTAAGGGGTTAAATCCTGCTGTGCCCCTCTCCCTCCCACCCACATCCCCTTCAGTGACTGACCGGAGTCCAGCGCCGATGTCCCTCGGCGCTGAGTCAGGCTCCTCCTACTCTCTTCCTCGCCAACGTCATCCAAGAACACGGAAGTCCCTCTAGTGGCTGTCTGACAGACAGCCACTAGAGGAGGATTAACCCTGCAAGGTAATTATTGCAGTTTATAAAAACTGCAATGATTACACTTGCAGGATTAAGGGTAGTGGGAGTTGGCACCCAGACCACTCCAATGGGCAGAAGTGGTCTGGGTGCCTGGAGTGTCCCTTTAAAAAAACTGTATATAATCGGAGCTTTTGCAATCAATAAGAAAGATCGAAATTGCTGATGAAAACACTCCTAGCAAAATGCCCATATTGCTTGAGCTCTTATGTATAAAGGGGTTGATTTAATATTAAATGAAAAACACAGTTGAAAATTCCCAACATGATTTAATGTCGCCCAAAATCTGTCCAGACAAAACAGTGTTCCTGGTTGAAATTGAATTATAAATGTATCAGACGCGCAAAACATAAATAATGGATGCTGTTGAAATATATTGGAAATTATCATAAACAAAAACAGAGAATAGGAGAGTTATGAGAACGGAAAAAAGCTTAGAGAAACTCAGTAAGTTGCCTTTCGTTAAATCCTCGCTCAAGTCTCAAAATAGTTTTTGCCCACTTGTGCCATTACAAAGAGAACATATTCTGAAGCATATCAGACTGATCCCACCCATGAGGGCAGTCAAGAAACGAAATGCCAGCAAGTTATTTCTGCGTAAGAGATCCAGCAACCACAGAAAATCATTTCGGCCTTCTTTGTGCCTCATCAGCGAGGTGGCAATTTATTGTTTGGTAGATATGCAATCACTGTTTAGGTGACATGCCCACACTATTTGGAGTTTTAATGCATGAAAACTACTTTGTCAACAGCTTTTTTGATAAGCCCATTTCAGGGTCATTAAATGATTGATAAATGAAATTGAATAACCAAATTTGATTTGGTTGTGAACATTTTCAAAATGTTTCGGCTCCTGAAAAGCCTTAAATTGCTTGTATTATATCGCTCTGAACTGTTAAAAGGCTTATCAGGAGCCAATAAGCCGTTAATATCACCTGATATTAAATCAAAACGAAAACAAGCAGGGGTAAATATGAATATTTGCATACTTCCAGCCAAGTTGACTAATTAGGTTTAATTAATTCCCATGTGAGACTTTTTGTGAGAAGAATTTGGTTCTGATACTTATTATGGAGCACAATTTAAAGGGACACTATAGGACAGTCTTAACAGCATTATAGGCCCCCAGGCAATGCAGTGCACTGAGATCCTGCCTACACATCCACTCACAGGAATAACAATTTAAATTGTCCATAAAATTCAGCTTATATTTATTGGTACCTCCAAACATGCAATACATACATACAATATATACACATATACTGCCTAATACAAACACAGACTGCTGAATACACAGAATACACAGTCTGCTGAATAAACACACAGACAGACTGCTGAATACACACACAGACTACTGAAGATACACAGGCAGACTGCTGAATACACACACAGTCTACTGAAGATACACAGGCAGACTGCTGAATACCTACACATGGGCTGCTGAAAACACAGGCTGCTGCATACACACAGACAGAGAGGCTACTGAATACACACACACAGACTGCTGAATCCACATATTGCTGAATACACACATAGACTGCTGGATACACACGCAAACTGCTAAATACACAGACACTGCTGAATAAACTCACAATCTGTTAAATACACACACTGGCTGCTGAATACACACTCAGACTGCTGAGTGCACACAGTGTGCTGGATACACACCTAGACAGACTGCAGTGCGTAGTGTAAGGTTGCAGTGTGTGAAGGGGTACATTGTGTAAGAGGAGTACAGTGTGTGAATAATGGGTGCAGTGTGTGTGTGCGAAGGCTGCAGGGAGGGGTGCAGTTTGTGAAGGGGTACAGTGTGTAAGAGGGGTGCAGTATGTGAGTGACAGATGCAGTGTGTGTGTGTGTAGGGGTGCAGTGTGTGTGTGTTTAGGGATGCAGTGAGGGTTCATTGTGTGTGAGTAGTGCAATGTGTGTAGGTGTGCAGAGTGTGTGAGTGGTGTAGTGTGTGTGTAGGTGTGCAATATGTGTGAGGGGTGCAGTGTGTGTGTGAGGGGTGCTAAGTGTGTGTGAATGATGCAGTGTGTATGTAGGGGTGCAGAGTGTGTGAGGGTTATAGTGTGTGTGTTTGAATGGTGCAGCGTGTGAGGGGCGAGTGTGTGTGTGTGTGTGTCATGATCTCAAGCAGGTCAGATAGTTTTTATTTGAGACTTTATTGGTGCTTTTAGACATATTATGCAACTTGACGGAAAACAGACTTTAGGCAATATGCCACAAAACAGGATACTTGCCACAGGTGCCACAAACCAGGTTACTTGCAAATAAAGAAAGTCTGTGATCTCCAGGTAGGTTTGATACAAAGGCAGGTTGGTTTCCAAGCCAGGCTGGTAATAGTGGAAGGTTGCTAACAGAGGCAGAAATCAAAATCATTCGCCGGAGTGGAGCAGGCTGGAAGGTAAGTCTGGAGCAGGAATGAGGGTAGGTCTGGAGAAGGTTCACATGAGCCAGGAACTGAAGTTTTTCAGGCAAATCATTAACTTCAATGCAAAGGCTACTTGGTTTATTGGGTGTGGCCTTTTATAGCAGACTTGATTTTAGGTTATCCAGGTAAGAGTTTGAAATGACTAGAGGCAAAAGTCAGGTACCGTATTTAAAAGGACAGTATTAAACAAAAAAAAGTCTTACTTGTCAGTATAGGAATGTGACAGTGTGTGAGGGATGCATAGGGTCTATATTGTGTGTATGGGAGGGTGATAAGGGAGAAAATGTACATTTTCTTCTATCTATTTAAATAAATAAAAGCCATTATGCCCCCCTGCTCCCTTTTTCTTACCTTTTGCCAGGTTGGGGGTCATTTTACAAGCCCTGGTGGTCCAGTGGTGGCAAGGTTACTCTAGCCTCTGGCTGCAGGCTGACTTCACTTCTCCTGTGAACACACAGTCATCCAGGTCCCTCCCTCTCTCTCCCCTAAGGAAGAGCCAGGTCAGTGAGGGAGATCAGCAGACAGCACGGCTCAGAGCCCCTATGCTTGTGGGGAAAAGACGGCCCTGGGGCACTGTAGTCAACAGACCCACAAAAGCTTAATATAGTGGTTCTGGTGTCTAAAGCATGTCCATGCAGGCGTTTTTTTTTTTAATTTAAATGCGAAAAGACAGTGTTTACATTACTGCTTAGTAAGAAAATAATTAGCAAGGAAGGCACACTAAAGACACAATAGGATGAAATTCAGCTTAGGCTACTAAAAACACAGGGTGCTCACTACAATCTTCTATTTCCAATAGAGTCTATATATACAATTTATAGCAAAGAAACCAGAATTTATTAGAATAAAATATATCAAACACACAAATATATAAATCTGGATATTCTAAATATGTCAGACTATACAAAATGACAAAAACAATAAATTATAGTCATAAATCAGATCCTAGTGAATATACAATTAACACAAGAGGTATACAGAAAAAATGTAAATATATCAAGGCCAACTAGTAAACTGAGGCCAAATTCGAGGTCACAAGAACATCAGAAAAATAATCCAAGTAAATTCAAAACAAAATATAGAAACATAGAATGTGACGGCAGATAAGAACCATTTGGACCATTCAATCTGCCCAATTTTCTAAATACTTTCATTAGTCACTAGCCTTATCTTATAGTTAGGATAGCCCTATGCCTATCCCATGCATGTTTAAACTCCTTTACTGTGTTAACTTCTACCACTTCAGCTGGAAGGCTATTCCATGCATCCACTACCCTCTCAGTAAAGTAATACTTCCTGATATTATTTTTTAAACCTTTGCCCCTCTAATTTAAGACTATGCCCTCTTGTTGTGGTAGTTTTCCTTCTTTTAAATATAGTCTCCTCCTTTACTGTGTTGATTCCTTTATGTATTTAGATGTTTCTATCATATCCCGTCTCGTCTTTCCTCCAAGCTATACATGTTAAGATCCTTTAAAGGACCACTATAGTGCCAGGAAAACATACTCGTTTTCCTGGCACTATAGTGCCCTGAGGGTGCCCCCACTCTGGAGGCTGGATTAACCCTCAGTATAAACATAGCAGTTTCTCTGAAACTGCTATGTTTATAAAAAAAAAAGGGTTAATCCTAGAGGGACCAGGCACCCAGACCACTTCATTAAGCTGAAGTGGTCTGGGTGCCTAGAGTGGTCCTTTAACCTTTCCTGGTAAGTTTTATCCCGCAATCCATGAACCAGTTTAGTAGCCCTTCTCTGAACCCTCTCTAAAGTATCAATATCCTTCTGAAGATATGGTCTCCAGTACTGCGTACAATACTCCAAGTGAGGTTTCAACGGTGTTCTGTACAATGGCATTAGCACTTCACTCTTTCTACTGCTAATACCTCTCCCTATACAACCAAGCATTCTGCTAGCATTTCCTGCTGCTCTATTACATTGTCTGCCTACCTTTAAGTCATCAGAAATAATCACCCCTAAATCCTTTTCCTCAGATGTTGAGGTTAGGACTCTATCAAATATTCTGTACTCTGCCCTTGGGTTTTTACACCCAAGATGCATTATCTTGCACTTATCCACATTAAATGTCGGTTGCCACAATTCTGACCATTTTTCTAGTTTACCTAAATCATTTGTCATTTGGGTTATCCCTCCTGGAACACCAACCCTGTTACATATCTTAGTATCATCAGCAAAAAGACATACCTTACCATCAAGACCTTCTGCAATATCACTAATAAAAATATTAAAGATAATGGGTCCAAGTACAGACCCCTGAGGTACCCCACTGGTGACAAGACCATGCTACGAATATATTCCATTAACTACAACCCTCTGTTGCCTGTCACTCAGCCACTGCCTTACCCATTCAACAATATTGGAATCCAAACTTAAAGATTGCAATAAATAAATATACAAAACACGTAAAACAGTTTAAATACATACCAGAAAGAACTAAGGTAACACAAGATAATAGTAAGAGTGGTATGGGATACCAAAGCAAAAGCAAATATGAGTGAAAGCCCACCAAAGTTTCTGTAAAACTGCATTTTGCTCCTTTGGTCCTTTGCTCCCTTTGTATTCCGAACACTATAGTTACATAGCTCAAAAGAGACTTGCATCCATCAATATCAGCCTTCTTTATATTTGTTTTTGCTGTTGATCTAAAAGAAGGCAAAAAAAAAAAAAAACAGTCTGAAGCGTTTCTAATTTTGCAACAAACTAGGAAACAATTCCTTCTTGACCCCAAAATGGGAGTTAGATATCTCCATGGATAAAGCAGCTATTATGGCCCCCAATGGTCTTAATGAAGAACTGGATCAGTTTTAGGTGAATTTGTAGTTTCAGTTCTTTCATCTATTTATGGTTTTGTTTGGTTTGATTTGTTTTGGTTTTATAGTTTTCATCATTTTTTTTTTTGGTTCCTCTAATTTGCACTGTTGTGATATATAGGTTTATTCTTGGTAGTTTTGGAGACATGCACTGGAATATATACCCCTATAAATATGTATATTGTATATTATATTCTTTTGCTAGGATCATGTAGATTTTTTTTTTATCTCACTAGTATGCACATTGCACTATTCATAGTGAACAGTTTATTCATAGTGAACAGTCAGGCCAATCTGCATTTCTGGCTTAATTGGGGCATTAATGTTGTTAACATCAATAGGTGCATAACACTCTTTATGGTTATATTATACTAAATACTGCATTCATCCATTTGGTATATTTGTGTGATTTCAATTTTTATGGTTATTTTTATTCAACATTCATAATATTTTTTAAATTTTACTTTAGAGATATTGCTCAAAGTTTAAGCGTACGGGCTCTATGAACGATCACTGTGCATATAGACAATGGCGAAATATATGCACAAAACAGACAAAATTGGCCAAGGCCCAATATTTCTGTGAAAATCTGAACAAAAACATCTCAAATCCTAGAAACTTTTGGAAAGTCATAAATAAACTACAAACTCCCCCAATCCACTCCCAACCCTGCACTGTCAAAGTGGATAACCAAACCCTGCAACTTCCCTTAGATGTAGCAAATGCCTTTAACAATTATTTTGTCGGATGCTCTACTTTACATTATTTATAAATGATCTGCCTAATGTCTGCAAATCCTCAAATGTACAGATGTACGCAGATGACACGGTAATCTATGCAAGCAAATCTGATCTGCCGCAGCTTGAGGCTGTGCTCCAAGACCAGTTTACAGAGGTAGAAAAGTGGATCGTAAAAAACAAACTCTTCCTGAACACTGCCAAAACTGTCACAATGATCTTTGGAACAGTACCTAAATTACCCAAATTAGCCAATTCCCAACTATCCATCAAAACAAATTCAAATGGCACACTGACCGCAGTCCACTCTTTCAAATACTTGGGTATGATGTTAGACCCCAATCTATCTTTTGGCCTGCACATAGAAAAGCTTGCATCTAAACTTTATCCAAAACGAGGTGCCCTGTACAGAAACAAAGCCTGCCTAAGCCCTACAGTAAAGGAAAAGATTGTACAGCAAATGCTGATGCCAATCATTGATTATGGGGATGTAGTATATGCTCCTGCATGCAATCCCACATTAATAAACTCACATTGTATAACTCGTTCTGCCGATTTGTGCTACAATGTAATTACAGGACCCATCATTGTGACATGCTAAAGGAACTAAACTGGCTGTCACTGGAATCCAGACGCACCCTTCATCTTTCCAGCCTTGTGTTTAAGAGCTTTTCTGGGAAACTCCCACCCTACCTGAACACAATGCTTTCCTTAGCTGTTTCCACTTCCTATAACCTTCGATCCAGTACCAACACTTTACTTAGTCTACCTCAATACAAAAAGAAAGCAGCCCGATCCGCCTTCTCCTACAGAGCACCGCAATTGTGGAACGACCTACCGCACAAATTAAAATCTTCCCTAAGCCTAACGTCATTTAAGAGATCCCTCTCTACATACCTCAAAACAGAATGCACCTGTCATGGTTGATTATATATTTCCTGCCTGTTCTATGTTACATTTTGTATTTATTAATATTGTTTTTGTATTTTATTGTACCCTAATTGTAACAATGCAATGATTTGTGGACCAAGGACATACTTGAAAACGAGAGAAATCTCAATGTATCTTTCCTGGTAAAATATTTTATAAATAAATAAATAAAATTTGGCTTTTTATTTAATATTGTGTAGTTTATGTATTCTATATACATGAAGTATTTATTTTAAATTCTGTAATGAATCATGTACTATGTTAGTTACATATACTAACACACACATTTTCTGTATGCAATAGAATATATTTTTTGTATTTTTTTTATGTAAAATAATTTTTTTGCTTTAATTGTTATGATAAGGGTTAATTATTTTAAGTTATTAAGCTGTTCGTCTATTTAGTCCATACCAGGTTTTGCAGGTTGTCTGATTTTGAGGGTTTATAAGGCAATTCTCTCCATCTGCACATCGTCTTGAGAAAGTCCTGTGAACAGGACGAAACGTGTGTAGATGCAGTGCCTTTCTCCTCTCTGTTATCTATTTATATTGATTGTCTGGCGCTCTGATATCCATCAAGTATATCTACGGTTTACTGCCTGTGGGACTGCCTTCATTGAGATCCTATGTGTTCTACCTTTCCTCAACAAGTCAAGCAGTTTTTTATCATCACATTTTGACCTTAGAGCTGCTGTTTCTATTTTTGAATCATCTGGATCGTCACCTCAGTTTTTTGGGGGGCCCCCTCGAGGTCAGGTATTTTTATATTATATCAGCGGTTACCTTTTTCACTTTTGAATTTTTCATATTTCTTTTGCACATTTTTATTATTTTTTTTTATACTTTTCAATACAAATATTATTTATCCAGTATCTTACATTACCTACAGTTTTTATACAATTTACATGCAACGTTATAAAACGGTTTTTCACCAAGGTTTGCACCATTTAGTTTGTGTTCACATCTACTTTCCCTTTGGACTGCAACATGCTGCTTCTGGATTAATTGAAACTGTTGCAGTTTTTGGGAAGTATTGTGTTTTATGTCCCACCTAACAGTTATTAAAAATAACTAGGGTAATAATTTTTCATTGTTTTAGCTGGTATTTGTATTCAAGGTTGTAACGGAACTCACTGTAATGAAGCTCCCCGTACTCTGACTGAGTACCCTCCGTTGATGGACGCTTCCTAGCTTGCGCCAAGGACCACAAGCACCGCACCGGACACCACAACCACTGCAGACTCTGCAACCGCCGTAGCTTGACTGGAGTCTCGCCGTCTTTCTTCCACCCTGGATCAGCTTCTGTCCTCCAGGACCATGTGGGAAAGACCTCTTCCCTCCACCCTGTATGAACCTCCAGCATCCAGGACTGTGTGGGGAAGACCTCTCCTCCAGGAGAGCATAACAGGAACAGCTCTTAAAAGAGCTAAGTGATTAAAGCTCAAGGGAGTATGCAGAGCATTGCAATCACCAGTGTGAGTATAGCTGTCCCCTCCAATCACGAGACAAGACTATGTGTTGAGGGTCAAGAAGAACTGTCTAAAACTTTATTTTACTTGGGACTAGCCCATATGGTCATTACATTAACATTGCTGTGAAAACTCAAAATATTACAAACAGTCAAATCATAGCAGGCAACATACAGTGACTTATTATAACACAATGGCATATTTTCAAAGGGGTGCGGAGACAATAATTAACAGAAAATATCTCACATACCTGCAGAATTAGCAATATGCAAATCTACCCAAATATGCAAATGAACCAGTCTTGCTATTTAGGTAGTTCAAGCAGCTATTACCCCAATAATTAGAAATTATATCCCTGTATGTTATGTTTTTGCTAGTATTTATCCAATTGCTGTTGAAACATCTGTATGGACTTTGATAAAACCACCTCTTCAGGCAGAGGATTTCATATTCTTATTGCTCTTACTGTAAAAAAAAAAAAAATTTTCTTTGCCTTAGATGAAATCTCCTTTCTTCCAGCCTAAATGCGAGACCTCGTGTCCTATGTATTTTGTTTGTACTGCACCCGAATATATTTGTATAATGTTATCATATCCACTTGGAGGTGCAGTTTTTCCAAACTAAAGAGATTTACATTTTTTTTTAACCTTTCTTCATAACTAAAATGCTCCATTCCTTTTATCAATTTTGTAGCTTGTCTCTGCACTTTTTCTAGTGCCATGATATCCTTTAGGTGCCCAAAATTGCACAGCATATTCAAGGTGTGGTCTTACCAGTGATTTATAAAGAGGCAAAATTATATTTTCATCCCAAGTAATTTATGCCCCTATTTATACATGACAAAACCTTACTGGCCTTAGCAACTGCAGATTGACATTGCATATTGTTGCCTAATTTGTTGTCTATAACTATTCCCACATCATTCTCATGTGTAGTTATCCCTAATTCACTACCATTTAGGTGTAAGTTGCTTGTGCATTCTTAACCCCGAAGTACATAACTTTGCATTTCTCTACATTAAATTTAATCTGCCCTTTTAGTGCCCAGTCTCCCAATCTATCTAAATCCCTCTGCAGCAAAGCAATATCCTGCTCACATGTTATTACTTTACAAAGTTTTGTGTCATCTGCAAACACTGAAACATGGCTTTAAATGCCTATTGCAAGATCATTAATAAATATGTTAAATAGAAGCGGTCCCAAAACAGAACCCTGGGGGACACCACTTACCACTTTTGTCCAGCCTGAAAATTTACCATTAATGACAACTCGTTGTACTCTATCTTTAAGCCAATTTTCTACTCAAGAACAAGAATATTCATCTCGACCAATTTCTTTTAGTTTGAAGACTAACCTATTGTGAGGAACCGGATCAGATGCCTTGGCAAAATCCAAGTAGCTCACATCCACTGCAACATCCTGATCTATACTTCTACCTACTTCTTCGTAGAATGCAATTAGATTAGTTTGACATGACCTATGTTTCATAAAACCATGCTGATAGTGTTCCTTTCACTACTTAAGGACAGCGGGCATGCTATGCTGTCCTTGGGGACCCTGCTCTAAATGCGGGTGGCATAGTACGTCCCTGCTGTCCAGGGGACTAACCTGCTCTCTAGCAATCCCACGCCGGCAATCGCGATGGGGGGATTTACCTGGCATCCCAGGAAGTCCCCCAGCTGCTGATCTGGCCCTCATGGCCATGTGATAGCAAGGTCCTTGCGACGACCCCATGATCACATGGACGGAATAGCCGTCCATAGCAGTGTCAGCAGGGGGAGTGCCTGGAATAACAGTTAAAGAAAAGTTAAAACAGTGTAAAATAAAATAATATATACTTAGATTTTATATCTATTACTTCAAAATACACATAGAATGACATTAATTAAATATATATAATTATATATGCTGTGCCTAATCATTAAATTCATGAAGCACCAATATCAGTTATGAAACACTAATATTTGTGTTCAGCAAAGTCTCCTAAGTAAAACAGTACCCCTCATGTACAGGTGTTATGGGGTTTTCAAAAGTTACAGAGTCAAATATAAGGCTTGCATTTCAGTTTTTTTCACACTGAAATTCGCCAGATGGGTTATGTTGCCTTTGAGACCGTAGCCCAAGAATGAGAATTGCTGGCATACCATTTGCAAAAGTAGACAACCCAAGGTATTGCAAATAGGGTATGTTCAGCCTTTTTTAGTAGCCACCTAGTCACAAACACTGGCCAAAATTGACATTCAAATTAGTTTTTTGCATTTTTCAAACACAAACAAATATTGACGCCAACTTTAAAACCTGTACATGAGGGGTACTGTTTTATACACGAGACATCGCTGAATACAAATATGTGTATTTTATTGCAGTGAAAGCTAACAGTATTATGACATTCACAGTTAAAATGTCATGCAGAACTAAAAAAAATAACAATTTCTTAATTTCTCACATTATTTTATATTTTATTCATATTAAATTATGCTTCATAGCTAAATATGTTGTTAAATAAAAGCCCTATTTCTCCTGAACAAAATGATATATAATAAGTGTGGGTGTACTTAATATGAAAGAGGTGAATTACGGTTGAACAGATATATAGTCAAATTCCAAGTTTTGTTTTCGTTTTATTTTGATCAAAACGTGTACATTTGGCTCAGTTCTTAAGGGGTTGAGAACAGGATTTAGCCTATTACAGCTCTGATTTTATAGGCTTGAGACACACTAGTGGTCTATATTACTACTGGTTCAAAACCACTGGGTTAAGATTCATATCTTCAATAAGTGTTATACAATAATGTTTTTCTTTGTTCTATATACACTAGCTATTAAATATTTGTGGTACCTACATTTAAAAACACATAGATTTGTGCTGATGGGAAGATGAAAAGTGCTTTACTTTGTATGTTTATTGTATGAAAATAAACAACTTAGTCTGATGTAATGGACAAGAGGCCTGCCCAATCATCTGGGCTGGATTTCCTGTCCAATCAAAAGGTAGCACAAAATTAAGGAGAATTGTTGGTTATGACACAGCCTTTAAATGATGATTTTATTCAAAAATCAAGTGACAACTGTTCAATAAAGGGAAAAAGGAGGAGCAGTAAAACAGTGTATAGTTTCAAGCAGGATTCTTTTAGACACTTTGACTATAGTTACTGAGGGAGACAGACAAGGAGTTATACCGCGAGAAATTAGCGTAGAGTACTAAAGGATTGCCCATGACCCTGACGCCGATTCATCAGTTGTCCTTCCTTGCACCACTTTGGTAGGTAGGAACACCCCGAAGACTTTTTTTTAATGCTCTGACCCAGTCGTCTACACATCAATATTTGGCCCTTGTCAAAGTCACTCAAAGTCACTGGGGCAGAGGAGAGGAAGGGAGAGCCTGGGGCACTGGAGAAGCTTGGGCAGTCTAGGGCAGAAGAGGGGCTTGGGGAGCATGGGGCAGAGGAGAAGCAGGGAGAGCCTAGGGAAGAAGGCAAGCAGGGAGAGTTTGGAGCAGGAGAGCCTGGAGTATAGGAGGAGCAGGGAGAGGCTGGGACAGAAAAGGAGCCTGGAAAAATAGGGAGAGCCATTGGTAGAGGGGGAGCATGAAATTCTGGGGCCACTACATTTATCACAAATTAAATAAATACAGACATTTTGCTAATATGAGGGGTATAATTTATGGAAATGGGCTGCCAAGAGGTAACCAAGTAAAAAAGTAATGGGAACATCTGGTATTCATGTGCACTTTAAAGTTCCTACATTCTAAAACAACCCTAACCTATGTTTACTGGCAAATAAATAGATGGTACTAATATTTTTCTTCTTTACTATTGTAGATACTGCTACTAGATTACTCTGTGAAGAATTTAATAAGCTGCATGCATCAGCCTCGCAACACAACCGAAAACACATAATTATTTTTGCAACCACAAGGACTGGATCTTCATTTCTGGGCCAGATCTTTAATCAGAATCCTGATATATTTTACTTGTTTGAACCTCTGTATCATGTGCAAAAAACCTTCAGCAATTCAAGCTCTCGAATGCAAGTGGGTAGTGGGTCTTTAGTTGGGGCCTTCCGAGATCTTCTCCAAAATCTATATAACTGTGACTTTTACTTTTTTGAAAACTATATCTCACCAGCTCCTAAAAACCATGTCACTTCCACCATTTTCAGAAGAGGGTCAAGCAATGCTTTATGTTCTCCCCCTTTGTGTGACAAGATACAGAGAAGAGAACACATATGTTCAAGAAAGTGTCGGCCGCTAAATTTTACTTTGGTGTCTGAATCCTGCAAAACATATAAACATATAGCCATAAAAACCGTCAGAATTCCTAAGATCAGTGATCTCAGAACTCTTGTGGAAGATCCCAGGCTGAACCTTAAAATAATCCATTTAGTAAGAGATCCAAGAGGAATTTTAGCATCAAGGATTAGCACCTTTATAGACTTGTACCAGCCATGGAAAATCTGGAATTCAATAGGAAGAAAGCCACGCAATATTGATCTTACTCAAATCACATCAACATGTGCCGATCTCAGTAGCTCTGTAGAGACTGGCTTAAGCAGGCCTCCTTGGTTGAAAGGAAGATATATGCTTGTTAGATATGAAGACATAGCAATGGACCCTGTAAAGAAGGCCAAAGAGATGTATGACTTTTTAGGTCTGGAATGGAGAGAGGATGTCCAAATGTGGATAGAGCAAAACACAAATGGAAGTATTGTTCCAAGCGTAAACTTTAAATATTCTACAAGTAGGAACTCAGCAGAGACATCCGAAAACTGGAGACTACATCTATGCCTTGATATAGTCCAGAAACTGCAAGAATTATGCAATGTAACATTTTCGCTTCTTGGATATAAAATGGTGGACTCAGTACTGCAGCTCAAAAATCTTTCCAATAGCCTTGTGGAGCCACGAATATTTTTTCCATTTACATAAGAGAGCAGAAGAGAGGGGGAAAAAAACTACCTGTGTCAGCTACAATTTCAAACCAAAAGAGATTAATGTGAAACCACAATGAAATTAGAATACACTTCCTATTAACCTTCAATGACAACATGTCAGATTAACAGTCTAGTGCTTCTCTAGAAAATTATATTTGGAGGGATTTTTGAATACATTTCCCAATGGCTTTCAAAAAAATATTTAATCATTTAGTATGAGTTACAAAATATGATGTAATCATTACAAAAAAAATCTTGTTATAATGGGTGCTCAAATGCGCTACATGGTATGTTGTTTTTTTGTTTTTATGCTTCATGGTTGCAAATAGGATGATTAAATGATGCAGGAAGTACATTTGAGCAAACAAAAAGGTCCATACTAAAGTGTGGTAGAAGCACTCTGTAACAAAGATGATTGTAGCTACCCTTGATTCGGTTGCCTACATCTGATGTTTGAATAAAGTAATATTTTTTTACTTTTGCTGGTGAGTACCACTCACTTAACTTGCCTTGCACAGCCTGGATCATAATCCTTTCAGGTGGAGGAGTTAGCCACATCTACAATACAAAATGTTTTCCTATACAGGTGTAAACATAGAGGGTTCAGGGTACAATTTCAATACAATTACAATTATTTATATAGATCAGTAGTTGAAGAGGGCCCAAATGAGCTTGTATCCATGTTTTTTATAACCTAGGGGAAGATTTGTTGTAATCCTCAGGTGTTCTTATAGGGAAGCAGGAGAGCTTGGCCACAGACATTATAATAATGCATTGTACATTATATTTCAATGCCCCTTGTAGTACATGAAGACTAATGAAAAGGACCAAAAGAGGTCCTCCTCTAGACCTACAGATGCTTCAGACCAGTTTGGAAGGGTGTGATGGGTAAGTATTTATTTTATTTTTTTAATGGCTGTGGGAGGTTGCTAGAAGCTCAGGCACTTCTAGCCACCCGGTGAAGACACTTAAGGACAATTTTGGAGGCTGACAATGGAGCACAACTGTTGAGATAAAAAAAAATACTTTATTAGTTGGGTCCAGTGCACTGGGTATCCCAAGTTTATACCAAACAACATTAACAATAATGTCAAAACAATGTTCAATACAAAAAAGCGTACAAGGTATACATTAATCACATGTATTCATGAAAAACAACCAAAAAAGTACAATAATGCTATTAGCAGTATAGAGTCACAAAGAAACCTAAAACCAGCTACCCAACATAAAAATACATACCAAAAGTGAGAAGAGGGAGAAAGTCAAAATAACCCCCAACGTTTCGGCAGGATTACATTTATCAAGGGAGCTGTTGATTCAAGATTAGTTAGCAGTTCTACTCTGAGTTTGGTTTTTCGGCAGAATCATCAATCAGGAGTCCTCAATATGTGTTTTTTTAAGGGGGGGGGGTGTTGTTGGGCAGAGGGGTCAGGGGTACCTTTTTGTTTTTTTATGTAGAGCAAATAATTGACTGACCTTTAATTCACATTTTAGTTACCTTAATTATGCAGTAACTTGCGCTATCTGGCCAAGGCAAAAAAGTTAAGTATACATATTTGCTGATTACTGATCTGCAATAGTTTAAAGCAGTGATGGCGACCTTTTTGAGCCCGAGTGCCCAAACTGCAATACGTGCCAACACGGCTATTAAACCTGAATACTGAGGTTTAAGTTTAGAAAAAACAACTCATACAGTTGTCCGAACTAATTAACATCTTTTGTTATAAAAGAACACAACAACAGAGAGTTCAATGACACAAATTTTAAATATGATATAAATTATAGATAAAATTAAACTTATATTTATTAGTATCTCCAACAAATGCAATACATACACACAGACTGCTGAACACATTCACACACACATTGCTTAATATATACACACACCGACACACACACACACAGACTGCTGAATACACACAGACTGCTAAATACAAACACAGACTGCTGAATACATGCGAACAGTCTGCTGAATACTGCACACAAACATACACACAGTCCGCTGAATACATACACACAGGCTGCTGAATACATACACTGCTGAATACACACACTCCTGAATACACATACAGATTGCTGAATATGCAAACACACAGAATGCTGAGCACACACAGACTGCTGAGTATACACAGACTGCTGAATACATAAATGCAGTCTGCTGAATACATATACACACACACTGGTGTTTGTGTGGAGTGTGTAGAGTGCTGTGTGTGAGGGGTACTGTGTGTGTATGTCTAAGGGGTGATATATGTGTGTGTGAGGGGTGCTGTGTGTGGGGTGGTGCTGTGTGTGGGGTAGGAGTGATGTGTGGGGGGGTGCTGTGGGTGGAGGAGTACCTGTGTGTGTTGGGGAGGGGTGCTGTGTGTGTGGGTGGGTGTGCTGTGTGTGTGGGAGGTGCTGAGTGTGTGGGGGTGCAGTGTGTGTGTGGGGGGTGTGTGGGGTGTGAGGTAGGGGTGCTGTGTGGGGTGTGTGTGTGTGTGTGTGGAAGGTGCTGTGTGTGGGGGTGCTGTGTGTGTGGGGGGTGCTGTGTGTGAGTGTGTAGGGGTACTGTGGGAGGAGGAGTGCTGTGTGGGGGGGGTAGGGGGTAGTGGTGCTGTGTGTTTGGGGAGGGTGCTGTGTGTGGGGGGTTGGGGTGATGTGTGTGGGGGGCGGTGGTAAAGATACATAAAAAAAAGATTGAAGAATCTTTATTTCCTCCCTCCCTTCTTCTTACCTTTGATGAAGGAGGGGGGACACAGCCAGCACTGGTGGTCAGTTGGTGGTAAGTATGTGCCTGGCTGCAGCTCTCCTGTCCTCCTGAGCAATGCTGTGTGGAGCGTTGTCATGGTAACACGCTGCAACGTTCCACACAGGTGGCTCGCGGGAGGACAGGAGAGCTGCTTCCCACATCCCTTCCCCTGCCTCCAGGTCCTCCAGACACAAAAGCAGAGTAGGCGCCTGCCGTTTTGGACAGGCAGGTACCTACTCTGCATTGCTACCGAAAGGCATGTGCGGCCCCCTCCCCTGGCAATCTCTGGCCGCGTGCCATAGGTTCGCCATCACTGGTTTAAAGTGTCTTTGATATGCTAGTGTAAATACATTAAATCACCATTTATAAATACAGACTGATACTTGCAGTATGTGTGTAGCTCCATCTGCTGGTTACTTTACAAATCAGAGTTTTAACAATGTTTTATTAAAGTAATGGAAAAAAGAAATTGTATTTGTCTAGTAATACATTTTTCTGATTGGTGTTTTTAAAGCTGCATTTTCCTAAGCAAGAGGTGAGCTGTAATACCAATATTACCTTCAATTAAATAACAAAATAACCAACAGTTATTCATCAATTTAATATTAGTGTGCCTCCATATCTTTAAGTACAAATTATCAAAAAAAGTAAGCCATAAAACACATGTTTTAAAAAAACATAAGTACTAAGTATAGTAGTATAGTTTGAAAACTATATATAGAGGGTCTTCTGCAGCAATAAAGTTGGCCTTTTCCCCATTTAATATGCATCCATAATACAAATATATATCTAGCGATTCAACTAGCAATAGGATCATTTATATATACATAGGCAGACATATACAGAAGTAGATGCGCACACACAGTCACACATACTCACACATACTTACACAATCACACTGATATACATACACAGTCACATATATACATAGAGAAACACAGTTACTTACACACATACATAGCTAGACACACAATCACACAGATTCATTTATATACAAATACACATACAGTGGTGGAAATACCGCGGTCGCAGGGGTTGCAGCTGCAACCAGGCCCTTCACTCCAGGGGGGCCCGACAGCCCTGCGAACCCCCATGACCGCGGTGCCCGCTGCCATGTGTTGCAACCCCGGGCAGCCTAGTATAACCGCCGTGGCCGCACGTTATGGGCCCTAACAGCATTGGCCACCCAATGGCTATGGATTTCCAGGGGGCCGAGTCAGTACTTTGGCATTTTAACAGCGCGACCGGGCCCCCTTTGATGACGTCAGAGGCTAGGAGGAAGTGACTGCCCCGGAGGCTGTTAGGGCCACCTTATGGCTATGGATTTCCAGGGGGCCCGGTCAGCGCCGCGGTGCTTTAAAAGCTCGACTGGGCCCCCTTTGATGAGGTCAGAGGCTGGGAGGAAGTAACTGCCCCGGTCACTTCCTCCCGGCAACAACCAGGAGCCACGCGGGAGGAAGGAGAGGAGGGAGTCAGAGTGGGAATTCTGATTCCCATCAGGCTGAGCCATCACTGGACCTCAGGGAACTCACTCTCCTGCATCTAAAAGATAGGAAACAAGAGGGTGAGTAAAAAATGTTTGTATATGTGTTTGGATGTATGTATGTATGTATGTGTGTGTGTCTGTATGAATGTTTCTCTGTATGTATGTCTGTTTATATGTGTGTGTGTTTGTATGTCTGTGTGTGTATATGTATGTATGTATGCATGTGTGTCTGTGTGTGTGTATGTATGTGTGTTTGTATGTACGGGGTGACAACCATGACGGGCCCCACGTGTAGCGGCAGATCTGCCACCGGTGCAGTTCCACCGGGGCCCGCACCCTAAGTGCGTGGGCCACCCGATGGGCCCTATATCTTCAGGGGCCCGGTCAGCGCTGTGGTCGTGTAATAGCGCGACCGGGCCTCTTTAAAAAATAAAAAAAGCGCAGCCGCAGCAAGTGCTGCTGGGAGGAAGTGGTCACTTCATCCAAGCTCACTCCGTGCGGTAGGAGCGCCCGCCCGGCAGTGAGGGAGAGCCGTGCCGACTCCCAGTCCCATCAGCCCCAGCCACCATCTTGCAAAGAAAAGGTAAGAAACAGGAGGGTGGCTGGAAAATGAGCTCAGTGTTTGTGTCTGTATGAATGTATGTATGTATGCATGTCTGTATGTATGCATGTATGTCATTATGTATGTCTGTATGTCAATATGTCTGTATGTATGTATGTCTGTATGCATGTATGTCTGTCAGTATATATGTATGTCTGTATGCATGTATGTCTGTCAGTATGTATGTATATATGTTTGTCTGTATGTATGTCATTATGTATGTTTGAATGTATGTATGTATATATGTCTGTATGTCTGTCTGTATGTATGTCATTGTG